AGAAAGGAAAAGGAACAAGAAACTACAGAAATTTGGCTGAAATACGCTGGATTTGATCTGTGATTTGGTCCAGGGAATATGCTGGAAGTCCCTCTTGCCATCAAACCAACTCCGGTTAAATAAGTCTTCAGGAATACGAAGTGTCAGTTCAATCACTATTAATAAGTGCACAATTTTGAGTCGTGGAAGAGTGCCGATGTCGGGTGGAGACCAGGGTAAGCCATGACGTTCGCACTTTATCAAAAGTTTCGCGACCCCTCCCACTTCTTCAAGCGGGTCTCGATACGACCCACCCCATCACCACGAGATTCAGGAAGCTCCCCCATCATGGCTGTTTCGGCCGTATTTGATTCTGAGATCAGTTGACACAGCCCAACTCCGCCCACTTTCCTCTCCCGAAACAACCGTCGAATGAGAGGAGGGATATATGTAGTAGTGCAAAAAAACGGCAAATAATGACAAATTTCTTCTTTACCCACCTATCTCACGCTCCACATCCAACAGATCCCTCAAAACAACCTATCTAAATCGCCTCGCCATTCTCTCAACAAATTACTAATCCCACTCATCCCCTGAATGCGACCCCCCCCTTCCCAAAACCTACTAATGCGGCCCCCCTCGTTCAAAAAGTGCGCACGGTTGACCCTGGTTGGGACCACATTTGGGAAGAATTTTGACGCACTCTGTTGAGGCGCCTCGGGTCTCAACAGCTGCTTTCGCTCTAACGAACTTTCGTCGAGTTCTACTGTGTCAAAATTTGTGTCGTCATAAGGGTCTTCTGATTTTTCTTCCGCGGACATCAGAAATTTCGGAATTTCGGAGGTTGGAATTTCCAAATTTCCGAATTGTTGTAGAACGCCGCGTTGTCCTCAGTCCGGTCCCTGGCTGATAAAAGCACCCCCATTTGTTATCGTTTGTATGCATTTGATACAATAATTCAGGGTACATAAAAACATTTAGCGCAATTATTGAGTGTGGGACGTAAAAAATACCTTTTGGGAGCTGCGCCTACCGACAAGCAAACAGCGGTATGACTTGCTTTGATAAAATATCCAGGTAGCTCGGTTGGCTTCTGGCATTCCACTGACAGAGTAAAAGTAAGAGAGGTTTTATTTGTGCACAACCGCCATTGAGCGGCGCTCGTGCCTCAAGAACCAAAACTGGGGGTGCCTTTGACTGTGGTACACATGTACACCGTACCGGCAACACTCAATGGGTATGAAGACACGTTATGTTGCCATTTCTGCTATACGCGCTCAAGTGTTTGTGCGATTCCATATGAAAACGAGTGCATGGCGTGAAATGCTGAGGACAAAAAGTCTCAGATTTTCCAGTGGAATTTTGCCAACAACATGTGTGCTCCAAGCGCTCCAACTTTTATTCATGGAGCTATGAATATTCAAAACGAAATTCAACTAATCAATAACGATTTTTTCCAGAGATCCTAGTTCTCGTTCCTATCCACCGTCCCTCAGGCCCCTTCCGGCGAGCTGTCCATTCGCGTCCATGGATACTAATCCGTTAATTATTGGCCTATTGCCATCCCGTGCTGGGTGGACACGACAACAGAGCATTTAATAATGACTGTTATATTGTAAAGCTTATGCGTAGAATGATAGATGAAAAATAAAGCATTCGGCGTTACCAACCCTATTTTGAATGCGCCATGCATTTTGCTTCTATTCATGACTGTAATCTCAGTTGAATGTAGATTTGCCTTTTCTAATAGTTTTTACTTGTACGATCCAGTATTTTTATTCTCTCTTATGAATCTGATACTAATTGGCTGTACTCAGGATGATGACAGTCAGCGTGAGAGGGGTCTACGCCGTGACTTGACCCCTGGATTGTGAGCCTAGTAAGCGGTACCATTTGTCACTGCACCACCCGCCCCGTTATCAGATTATAAAAATCAAAAAAGAATAAATGGATGAGATGAAGAATAAATGGATGGTATCAGATTGTGAAAGAAAAGAATCTGCAGGTAACTCACCATAACCGCTAGGACACCAGAATATCCTCCTATTCCCCAGGCGACCTTCAATATACTGTGTGATTGGATCGTTCAGCGCCTGTGCATCTGTGTAGTACACTGAAAATCAATAATCGATCAAAGAAGTGGATCGAAATGGCCCTTTGGTAATACTGCTGCGTGGCAAACTCATAGTAATAGTAAGAGGTGATTCCATTCGGGTGTGAGTCAGATGACGCCGCTCCACGGCCAAGAAAAGCGGTCTGGACGCGCTCTCCCCTAAAGAATCACTCACCAACGGCTGCGAACGTGACGATGAGACCGATGTGCGTGAGTCGTATTTGCATTGGCCCTGAAAGAGAATAATCTTCTTTCTAGGGGAAAAAGTGGAGAGTCACGTGAGAATATACGACGTTGGGCTCACAGAGAGAAAGTTTATTGAAAGGAAGTTTTAAGAAATAGGGCCCCATTCAGTAAGGGAGGGAGAGAGGGAGGAGGGTGCGAAACTCATGTCTACAGAAATTCCAATTTTTGCGAGGGGAAGAATTACACAAGGTGTGTGAACCATTTCGCTTCCGCTTTTACACCCACTCTAGAACTTTCTCTCATTGCGAAAAAGTGGACTACTTTGGGCGATATGAACTTAATTCCATTTACTGAATGAGAACTTGAAGAGAAAAGAAAAAGGAAGAAAGTGAAAAGAATCACGGCGTAGAAAGGAAAAGAAAGTGAAATGAAAAAGTTAGGGAAAAAGCGATTTTGACTTCGTTTTTGATTGTTAACTGCTGTTTTTGGCCGCAGTTCGCCTTGCGAATGTTTCACAAGAATGCTGGGTTGTGAACAAAACTTTCGCCCCAGGCGGGACTAGAACCCGCACCCTCGCTTTCCGGGCAAGTGCGCTACCAGTTACGCTACCGGGGCACCATTTCATCCAGACAGATTCGAATCCATACCTTTTGCTGGAGCGAAAGTTTTCTTCACAACCCAGCATTCTTGTGAGAAAATACGATTCTTCTCTCGAATGCTTGAAACGTTTAGTGGTTGGAAGCGTCGGGCTGGACTTCGTGGGAAGTCGAAGTCGCCATTAGTCAGACAAAAGTAATCATTTTTCTAGCGAACACTCAAATTTAGTACCACTTAATGGCAACATTAGTATGCTAATATTGGCGTAGGCTGTTCTTTTTGCTTTATACACCTAAGGCAGTCTTTTTATTTTTCAGGGAGTCGAGTGCATGGCGTTTCCCAAAGAGGTCAAACAATCCACTTTTAGTGCATTGCCTTGATTCTTATTTCTGTACCACCTATATTACAAACGCATATTCAAAGGCAAATTTTATTGATTTGTTGCAAACTCCTCTGGACATTTTAACGCCCTAATCGATAAATCCTATCCGTCAAACTGTGGTCGAATGTGAAAAAGTGTCGAAAAGAAGAGAGCAGGAAATTCGAACGAAGCTTGCAAAGATCATGTGTGGAAACTACGTAAGTAGATGAAAAAAGGAAAAAAAATTCGAAAGTTGCCGAAATCTTCTCGTTGCAGTAACATACGCACATAGGTGATGACTGAAATCTGATAGCCTATTACGTAGACACAGACACAGAAAGCAGGAGGGATAAGAAAACAGCGCGTTTTGGAAGATGAGAATAGGTTTTTCATTTGGAGAGGATTTATTCAAGGACGTACACATCGATAAGATGCTATTCCAGCTGCGAAGCGTATAATGATTAAATAACACTGATTTTATAGCAAAGTAATATGTACAATAAGTCAATAAATAAGTTACGAACTTTACGACGGAAGAGAACTTTTCAATTGTAGTGTATCGCATTTAGTAGCTTAGATATAA